TTCTCGGGAAAATGTTTTAAGTTGCTAGTTTTAGGTAAGAATATACATGTATGGTATGCTATGTGGATTACTGTTAAACCGGGACAGAAAATAAAAATATGATTACTGATATAAAAAAAAATTGTAACCTCAAGAGTACATAGTCATGAATTGTGAATTGACAAATAATTTTCTGTTTACATATTTTTAAATAAATTTTAAATTTGAATTTGCTCAAAAACGTCCAATAAACTGAAACTGGTCACAATGTACTGGGGGTTGCAGTTCAAATGTCATGGACTTTGACATTTTTGAACGCTAACAATTGACAATTTAGCACAGCGGACACTCTTGAAGTTCAATCCAGTATAATTCACCTTCCTGGTGTCTTCTTCAGCCATTCAAATCCTTCGATACTGTGCTACAAAGACATTTACAGAAGATGTCAAACAGCTGTGACAGCTTCGAGTGGAAATTCAGATGCCCAGCAGTTTGACATTTTTGAGCTTTGACACAATTGGCCCCTGTTTGATGGCTGTGCGTGTTGATTGCAGACGCATGGTTAATAAAGTTGTAAACAGCGAATAAATTCTAATTACGCTTTAGCGAAACCGCTGTTTACGAATGCGGGATAATAAGCTTAGGGACTCGGCGGGGTTCGTCAGATTTACGGGGCGCAACGTGTGTTTATATTCACCGGGATTACGACTGTCACAATGGGAAGATTTAAAGGGATGCGGTCCGTATGCGCCGTAAGGGCGAGCAAATATTTATCCGGGCGTCCCAAGAATGGGGATGGGCGGCGTCTTGCACGGTAAATCAACGCGGCAAGCGTCGCTTCTTCGTGTGGCATTGCCATCGATGCTCAATTATCCCATATGGGACGTTATCCCGGCTTAGTAGAAGCAAGTGATTATCTTTCGCTATAGGGACCGCACATTATCATCCATCGTGCGTCAGCCGTTTATCATGCAGCCCCTTTGACCTGCTCACGTTGCCCACAAATGATTTACAGGTGTTCGGCGCGAGCTAAAAGGGTTGGACGGTTTGCGTGTCCCAAACATTTTTATTCCCATTGTTGTGCTACTATGTGGGGCGCTGTTATCAATTCATGAAGCTGTGCCATTCGCACACTTTGCCCAATTTAATTCCGCTAAATAATCCATGAGATGTACCGCATCTTTGACTAATGAAACTTTCATTACATGGTAATTTCGCGCGAGAGTTGGCGATAACCCCAGCTAATCCCCCATTAACAAAACTAATTGCGACAAATGATGCTTCTTGTTCGCATTCATAAATTCATGGTGGCAGAGTATTGGAAAACGCCAGCAAAGGTCGACGAAATTTAGAAGGAACGCCAGGGATTCCCTACTGTTCGGAATGTTGGCAACAAACAGTTCCAGACTTCTCCAAGAAAAAGGCCCATATGAGGTTTGAGCGGGTTTAATGATCAATGCGATTAACACGTTTGCAAATTTCTCCTGTTTGTCTATGGGGGAGAGTTCTAAGCTGGGGATTGCTATTGTGGGGAAACTGAGCCGGGGTTTTGAGTGTGAATATTTTGCTTAAAATCGCAGTTTCAATCAGAAATCAAGAATTGAAGTATCAGGAAAACCTTGCAATAAATGAATGGGAGGCACAGAAGTAGAAAAACACCAATTAGCGCCACAGAAAGGAAGAAGGTAACATATAAAGTCGAGAGCAGAAATGGATCTACTCAGAAGAAGGTAAAATGCAGACAATGATTGAGGTGGAAGAAGAATTTGAACAAAATGGGAAGCGAAATAAAGCTACAGAGGGTTGGTAAGAAAGTGGCAAACAAATAGTACCTATATCGAGGTTGGAAATTTCGATTAATTTCGTACCTCCTCCACCTCCTTACAATTTTTACCGCCTGTAAAGGAAGGTACAGAAGTAGCAATTTGTCGGCCTTAGCAGCTGAATATTGCATTTTTTTACACTAGAATGGTAATTTTTTTGCTTGTTAAAGTGTTTTTGGCTTCCAATTTTTACCTTCCTTTGTAGGAGGCATGCCTCCTACAAAGGAAGGTAAAAATTGGAAGCCAAAAACACTTTAACAAGCAAAAAAATTACCATTCTAGTGTAAAAAAATGCAATATTCAGCTGCTAAGGACGGCAGATTCCTAAATTGAACATATAAACAGCTCATGAATATAAGTTGGAAACTCGACTAGTAAAGAGAACGTTATCAACTCAAACAGGGCAAATGTATTTTTTCAAAAACCGCAGCAAACCCAAAATTCCGCCCAAATGATTCTTGGAAAATGCAAGCTAGTGGAAGTTCTTGATGTTAAAGGAATGAGCGCTTAAGCGGGATGAAAGTGATGCTGATGGTGATCGAACACAACTCAATGATCCCGATGTCTTTGCATCCAGTTCAATTCGGTCGCCAGTAGGGTTAAATTGCAATTTGTTGAAGCCATCCACAGCAATAAGTGTGCCACTTGTGCGGATTACCGTCGATACTGGCTTCAAGACTGGAATGGCGTTTTTTCAGCGGCAATAAGACGCTTTGAACGTGGAAATTAGCTTCAATTTAGCGCCAGGAGGAATTAAATCCTCGGCAAATTGGCTCTGTAAAATTCCTCCTTTGATTTTAATTATTAGAGAATGAGAAAATTATTTTCGCGGCGAATGGAGCGCCATTCAGAGCAATTGCAATTTTGGGACGCACTAATGGACGAAGGAAATTTTCTTTTCGGGCGGAAATTTTCAAGTTCGGATACAAGACAATATATCCGAATTTGCTCGCTATGAAAACGGCCCGGGCTCTTCAATAAACTTCCACGGGAAGTTTTCGCAGCTCGTAGATGGATGCAATGGTGATCCACATGTAGAAAAGAAGTTGAAATGAGTTCCCGAAAGCTTCCAAGCTTATTGACTAGTTTATGCTTCTCTGGAGTTTTAAATACATATTGAAAAAGTTTTCCTATTTTGGCGAAGTTTTATTAGCTGGAATAGGGCAAACAAACGCTTACTGGTCAGGCACAACTTTGAATATATCCAACAAACTTTGCTTGCTTGATGATTTAAACATGCAGATATGTGTGAGGTCAGCAAATTTTGCGTTTCAACGGCTGGATGCTTTCAACTAAATATTAATTAATTTATTGTGTTGTTTCAGACTTGTGGAAGCGAAAAGGACAAAAACAAGCTGACAGCAACAGAGAAGAGGAAAGCTGACGACGGCGAGCCAAACAAGGATCTGAAAAAGGTGAGTGATTAGTTAATGCATGCGGCAGCTACCGATTGCCCGAAGTTTTCCATGCAATTTTCGTGGCGGTTGGAATAAACTTTCAAGTCCGAGCTAAAACTGTAACAGTAATTCGGTTCTAGTCGACTTCTTATCAGATTTAGTGCTCTTCTCCGTTCCTCCTTCTGGCTATAGTTGGAGCAAAGTTTCGAGTCAATAGAGGCTACAGTTTGGAGTGCCCGACCCACGGGAGGGTGAAAAGCTACTCAATTTCTTTTCGAGCACAGGTAGAGAATTATCGTCCCCTTCACATCCTAGAGACTCATAAAGCTGTTTCTCAGCTATGCATTAATGTGTCGATTATTTAGCGCATCGGCCACTAAATTGCAGATATAAAATTCAATCTTGCATCGCGTTGGAACTGCAATTTTCCGCCAGCGATACGCCGCTTTACTGCTGACCCTGCGAAATTCGAAGAGCTCTAGAGTTATAGAGGCCGTAAACTTGGGTTATAGTCGCTACAGTTTTTGCTATTGTTATTGAGCTATTTTTCCAGCCGGGAGCTTTGAGCTGCACATAACCCTTGAGAGTATGACACACTCTTTCCGTTTCGGAACTCTTTAACGGGTTATTTGGTCGAATTTAACTGCAAGCGTTTTTATTTCGCTCAGTTGCTGTTAATGCCACTACTATTTCAAAATCAAATGCAAAAGAAAAAATGGTGAGAACAACCTGAACTTTCTGCTTTGCCTTCTACTGGTCGCCAACTCTTCCGAAAGTTCGCGAATGTTATTTTTAACCCTTCGCAGTTCCACAAAGGAAAATTCCAGCTTATTAATACTTTTGCCCAAGAATTGATATGGTCACGAGCGCTCGAGAACAAATGCAAATGAACGCAAACGAACAGGGTTTTTCAATAAAATTGCTAACTTTGCTAGTAGAAGTTGCAATAGAGATTAGAGCTTCGCAAGAACGATGCGGGCTCACGTTCCAATTTGCCTGCTATTGTTGGCAAACTCTATGGAACGCTCGCGAATTTTATTTTTAACTCTGAACTTTCGTAATTAGAAGTTACAACATTTTGTTCCGATTGTGATTAAAGCTTCGCAAGACAAAACGCGTCTGCTCCCAAATCGTATTGAACCAAAAGCTCGCGAATGCTTTTTTTGCTCTGCACACCGGATGATTTCAGCTCAATTCGAATCTAACACTTAACACTGGAAATGTTGAGTATGCGAAACTAGATTCGTGGCAAATTGGGTTTTTCAAATGACGAGCAGTAGCAAACGCAAACGAGCACTAGACGAACACAAACGAACAACGTGCCTCTTTTGTTGGGCGAAAAAATGTCTACCGTCCTAATGAGTTAGGCAATGGAAAGCTTTCCAATGGAAATGTTCCCCTTATCGGACCGTATATGTAACATTTACACGGCCTGTTAGGCGCCAGGAAATATCGCCCGTCCTTCTATTAATAATGTGGAAATTCTGACTTAATGGCCTACACATTAGCCGTTGTCGCATTGTTTCTTCCTCCCTCGAAAAACCCGCAGTTAATGATAATGTATCTGTTAAGTTAACGGTCGAGGTTTATTTATGTGTCTTTGTGCAGTTACTCAAACTTGGGCAACGTAAATCCCGAGATAAATGTTGATTTATGGCGGATTCACGTGTAATAACCGTGTTTTGAGTGGATCAAATAATAATAATGCATGTGAGTTCCGCCGTCGTAGGAGAAGATTAGGCGCAAACGTGACCGGCGAGTCGAGTTCCAATTGAAATAACGGCGCAACAAATGCAGCCCCTCCGAGCTGCTTTTCTTTCCTTATTTAATTAGCCCGAGGGAAAATACCCTTCTGACCTCATTAGGGTGTCTCATTATTGACTGAAATGGATTTCCTCGGCCATTCTCTTACGGAAATTGCACTGAACTAACGGGATTTGCTCTTCGTTGTTTCGGTAATGGGGCCCAAGGAAAATGAAACGTGACTTTTATTCATTTATCCGTTATCAGCTAATTAGCCAGCTACAATTTTCAACACCCAGGCAGTTTCGCTGGCAACTTGGGCCTTGTTGGGAAGTTGCACTTTGATCTGATCCAGCTCCCAGATCCACTCAAGCTCTTCGTTGTTTCCCAATAAGGTCACGGTTGTATCCAGACTTCCAAACAGCTCACTTGCAGAACCCAGAATCACTCTATCCTCCTGGGGCCACTCCAAAGTGATCGCATACACCACATGGTCTCGCGTCGTGTACCTAAAATGAACGGGCCCTTTAGAAGCCCGAAAGTGCAGTTGAGCAGACCTACCAAACGCTGGGGTTCACTGAGTCGTTTTGTACCGTCCAGGGCCGGCTGCTGTAGATCGCCTCCCCATTCAGACTCAGCCAGTTCCCCAGCTGGGTGAGGCGTTCTTCGAAAATGGGGTTGATGGTGCCCTCCTTTGAGGGCCCGATGTTGATGAGAAGGTTCCCTTAAAAACCCCCAAACAGTGAGCGTGAGGACATTTTTCGAGTCTCCTCAGTTACCTCCGCAACTTATGGTTCTGGCGAGGGCAGTTAACAGGTCCAAGGGAGTGAGATAGTCGGCTAGACGGGCGTTTCTTCTATATCCCCACGAGTCTCTGTCAATGGTCATGGCATTCTCCCACTTTTTCTCCTGCAGAACACCTGAATGGCCTAAGTGAGTCTACGTATGTACAATGTGTCCCTGATCAGTACCTGGATCGTATCGGTCGTTGCAAGTGTAAAAATCGCCATGAGCGCACGGTGTTTCGTCGCCCCATCTATCGTTGGAAACCACCCAGTCCTTAACGGGGCTCTCATTGTACAACCTTCAAAGCCGACTCTGAATATTGGGCGGCTGGGCCTTCAGCAACTCACCAAGCTAGAAACTCCCTGGATTGCCAGTAGCTGCCGCTAGCTCCTTTCGAGCCGTCCGACCAGAGAATCGCTGGCTGGTAGGCCAGAACCAACTCCTTCAGTTCCGGAATGATCTTACTGGTTACGAACTCCTGCGTTGTGTAGTTATTGGCCTGATCCGCCAGGTAGAGGGGGTGGAACCACTCGAACAAGGAGTGATAAAGGCCGTAGGTCAGGTTGGCGCTCCTCACTGCCTCTCCTAGTTCTCCTAAAATAGTCAGTCAGTTTTGCGTTGGGACCCTGGAGGGTTTCCTTGCCTACTATGTCCCTATGCGGGCCGATGTCCAAAGAGTTCCAACTGTAGGTGTACTTGGAGGGCCAGAGGGTGAAGCCTTCGTGATGCTTGCTGGTCAAAACTACGTATCTGCAAAGGTTCCTCCAGCTGAGTGAGCAGTGGGTTGGTCAATTTACCTACTTGGCCCCAGATTTGGCAAAAATGTCCGCCCATTGGGTGGCGTTGAAAAACTCCGCTGTGAAGTCTCGGGCAAACTCCTGGTAGCTGAATCCAGGGGGAAAGTTCTCTTCGAGGAATCGCGAAATCTTTTCGGAGGCTTAAACATCAAAGTGTACCTTTTTTGCTATTTTTGCCGAGTTCTTAACGCCAACTACATATAATATTCGCAGTTCTACATGTCCTCTACATATGTAAATATTCAGTGGCGTAGTTTCGTGTACTCACAGTTGGTCTTCCAGTCCTTGCAGAACCACTCCGAATCGAAGCTGGGCACCGAATAGACTCCCCAATGCACGAAAATGCCGATTTTCGCCTCGTCGAACCATGAAGGGAGTGGGCGCGTATCCAGACTCTCCCAAGTCGGCAGATATTCAGCCCCAACGACACCCAAAAGCAGGGGCAAAAGCAGTGGGGAATGCCACATTTTGCCCTCAAATCACTGCAGATTGAACCCTCGTTGTTTTTCGCCGCCTTTTATTATCCCGCGTCGCTGATAACCTTATTGTTTGGCTACTTGAGACAATGCTTCTACTTGAGATTTGATTGCAACTAATCAAATGTTCACCCAACTTTATCAATGAAACTCGAGTGCTGAAGTGAAAACTTTGTTGGGTGCAAACATCGCAACATCAGGAGGAGGAGGAGGAGGAGGAGGTAAAGAAAAAACGAGCTCAAAAAGTACTTTTGCGTAGATTGGTCTAGTTGGAGGTGGCAATTTTCAAAACCCACGCACCTTCGCTCTTCGCTGTCGCTTTGTCTGGCAAATGCACCTCAACTCGTCGCGAGTTCATGACCCACTTCAACTTGCCAAGGTTCCCAAGTAAGCTAACCGCTGTGTCCGGGCTTTTAAACAAGCTGACTGCACCGCCTAAAATAACCTTATTGTCCAGCGGCCATTCCAGGTCGATCGCGTAAACTGCATTGTTCCCAGACGTGTACCTGGAGTGGAAACACGTTAAGCAACGGATTTGTAACTCCCCAACTCACTGACCAAACTTGAGGGTTGACGGTGTCGTTTTGCACAATCCAAGGGCGACTGTTGTAGATGGCTTCTCCATTAATGCGCAACCAGGCCCCCAGTTGGGTGAGGCGATCCTGGAATATTGGGGCGATGGTGCCCTCTTTGGTGGGGCCAAGGTTGATCAGCAGATTACCTATGAAGGGTTGTTAGCAGACGAGGTGGGCGAGCAACAACTGCCTGGGAAAGGCGCTACCAACCTCCACAGCTAATAGTCTGCGCAAGAACACTAAGCAGCTGATGGGGAGTAAGGTAGTCCGAAAGGTCGGCGTTGCGCCTGAATCCCCACGACTCCCTGTCCAGGGTCATGGCGTTTTCCCACTTCTTCCGCTGCAGTTTGCCTGGTAATTGGGAAAATCACATCAGAACCTCTTGCTCTGGAAGAGGTTCTGGATCCTCTCACCTGGATTGTAGCGGTCATGGCAGTTGATAAAGTCCCCATGGATGCAAGTGGTTCCGCGTCCCCATCGGTCATTGACCACCACCTGGTCCTTCACAGGGCTTTCGTTGTAGAGCCTGCAACGCCAGCAATAAAACAGCAATTTGCAAGCCAAAAATCACCCAAACCAGGCCAGAAAGTCTGTAGACCTCCAATAGGTGTCGTCGGCCTCCCAGTCGCCATCCGACCAAATCACCCAGGGCTTGTAATTGCTCACTAACTCTTTCATCTCGAGCAGCACTTTGTTGTCTACAAACTTCTGAGTGGTAAAGTTCCTCCTTTTATCCGCCAAGTAGATCGGGTTGAACCATTCGAACAGAGAGTGGTAGACTCCAAACTTCAAGCCGGCCCTTTTTACAGCATTGCCCAGGTCCCCTAAGCCCATTTCTTTAATAGAAGCCACCATTCGGAGCAAACCACATACCTAGAAGGTCTCGATGAGGCCCAATGTCTTTGGCGTTCCAGCTGAAGGAGTACTCGGAGGGCCACAAAGTGAAGCCCTCGTGATGTTTGCTAGTCAACACCACGTAGCTGGAAGGAAACTATTTCCAGCTTGCTTATGAGGGGCGATTTGAGGCTTACTTTGCTCCGGCTCGTTTGAACAAGTCGGCCCACTGGCTGGAGTTGAAGAACTCCGCACTGAAGTCTTTGGCGAAGTCTTGATAGGTGAAGTTGGGCGGGTAGTTGGCTTTCATGTAGCTGTTGATCCTAGCTGAAGCTGAAACGAGGGTATTTCCCTGGGGAAAGGTTTCAATGATTTTCCACTTACAGTTTGATTGCCACTCGGACCAGAACCATTCACTGCCGAAGCTGGGGACGGAAAATACGCCCCAGTGCAAAAAAATGCCGATTTTCGCCTTGTCGAACCAGTCGGGAAGCGGCCGTTTGTCCAGACTCTTCCAGTTAGGCTCGTATTTGGTTCCCCAGGCCAAATGTAGCCAGAAAAGCCACAAAGTCGCGAAGAAAACACCAGTCTTCATCTCGGCTTGCTTTAACAGTCACAAAACAGCACGGAGAAGCATCGCAAACCGCATTATATCTGCTGACCTTTTATCAACTATTGTTTAAAATGGGCGATTACTGCTGAATGGGTAACAACTACTGGACCTGGCTACAGGGGCTGGTCACAAAGTTTCTCAACAACTCAGCATCAACTGATTTTTGCATGGTCTAATTTAGACAATCTTTCTGCTCCTGTTTCCTGGTTCCTCTTTTAGATCGCCTCCCGCTTCCAGCCAATATCCAGGGTGAATTCGCCAAATCACACTATATAAATTTGTTCAAATGCAACTGCGCACATTTATTAATTTATTCGTTATTGAATTTACAGTATCAAAGCGTTACAGAGAAGGTAGGCATAAATGAAGTGCTTTGACTAAACGAATAAACGAATAGCGGGATTTTGAACCCTCATATAATATACATGTGTATCCGGCTCGTAAATTCTAAATAATGTAGTAAGTCAGCCCTAATATATGGTTGTGGCGCCAGTTTCTGCAATAGTGCTTCTCGCAAACTGTATGTGTTAAAGTTGAGTAATTCAGCTAATTTTTCCTGCAAAAGGGGCCCGAGAATGTGCAATAACTTCAAATGGTCCCATTTGTTGACGTTGGTTTTACTGATTTTTTTTTTGTTGGGGTCGAAACGGGTTTTTATATATAGGTATTTAGCTCCACCTAGGGGAGGGGCTAAGTGAATGCTTTGGGTAAATTGAAATGTCTCTATAACTTCACAACTAAATTTTCAAGGTAATTTATTACTGCTTTCGGTGCTTTCGCCTTTGACGACGTATTTTCGATATTCTCCCTGAGTGGTTGAGAACTTGCTCCGCCCAAAGGCGGGGCTAAATATTCGTTTTATTTTCTCCGTTGGATCAATTATGGCTTAAAAAACAAACATTTGGTCAGCGTGCACATTTCTTTTTTAATCTGAGTATCTAATCCTGCATATATGCTGGTATATTTTTATGTGATGCACAACGCTTCTGAATGTTTTAATGAATTTTAGAAATAATTAGAGCCAAATTGCGTTTTTAGACGCAAACGAAGCTGGCGAGGGACTGAATCCAAAAAATCGAAGCTTTTTCACCTGCATCTTTGCTCTGGCTCCGCCTATGGGCGGAGCCAAGTCTGATCTTGGCCTTGCTCCATTGCTGAAGGAATTTGCGATACTTTCATTAACTTTGAGCCACGTTTTGTAGTCATCCAAGGGAAAAGGAAGAGTAAGGAAAAATGCGACAAAAATTTGCCTCAGCCGATTGTCCCTGTATGTAAATGGGTTTTAAACGAAATCACGTTGAAGCACGATTTATTGTTTACTGACATTGTAGTCGGCTGATTAAACCTAATGGTGCAAATGCGACTATTTAACACCTTTACCATCTGTGCATTTTTCATCAGCAACTTTGGCCTTTCCTTCACGTTCAAGTCGCCTCAAGGCGCAAATCTAAACAATTACCGACTGATCCTGAATGGGCCGTCAGTACTTGTTGACAGTGATTTCGAAAGTTGGGCACAATGGTGATTGATAGCGGCCAAAAGGCCCATTAATCACGCATTTCCAGCTGCTTATCGACATTTGCTGGCATTTCGTAGCTGAACAGAGCGAACAGCGAAATGTTGCATGTGCAAAAGTGGTCAGAATGCGAGCGACAATTAGATTCAGCCCGGTGCTGATTACTTGGGATGTTTTCATTAGTTTCACTATCCAAACTTCCGAGAAGGCCATTCGTATGCATGTAGCCCGGACAGCTTCTTTGTCGGGCGCAAATGAGACCGGATGGGACCGTGTTTCTGCAAATGCACGAAAAGTTGATAGTGCGAGGTGCAGTTTGGCTTTTAGTGAACCATAAGCCTCTCCTTTATTTAGAATGCTTAATAGGCCCATGAGTGCAGGTGGAGCTGTTTTCTCCTGTTGGATCAGGCACAGTTAAACCAATTGAAGCTTCTTTTAGGAGTTTTTCCTTGTTGGGTTTGGAAAACCTCCACTGCACCTCTTCGGCTCCGCCTAGAGGTAGTCTCTCTTGCTGGTGAATTGAACTGTTTCCTGCTCTACAAATGTAGGGCCTTTGAGTTTTAACGTGTGGACCGAAAAGGACTTTTGGCAGCGTTGCTGCAACTGTAGTTGCTCAAGAAGAAATAATCATTCAAATTCGTGAATTTTTTATACATTCAACAACCATCTGCGCGAGATTGGCAAATGCAAATGCAAATCCAGACTAGGAAAATGGAATGCACGCCAGTTGGGAGGAAATATGAAACGATCGCGAGCGCTCCCCATCCAGAACTGCTGGATGGATGTTTTAATTTTGCCGTTATTGTTCGTGGAGTTTTATTTAGCGGTGACAAGTCCGTTTGATATATTCCCATCCATGTCGGTCCATTATTCAACTTCCCTCGTTCCAGCGCTGTGAAACAGCAAAGGGAAAGGGTCTCTTTCCGGCGCTTTGGTAAGCTAGAAATGGAAAAAAAGCCGGGGCATTTGCCGTCGGCCATGCAAATAATGGACCTAATGATCGGTCTTACGGTCGGATTAATTTAATTAAACGATTCCGTAAACGGCTGCGACATTAATCATGTGATTATCCCAAGTGGCGAAAAATCCTCCGGACTCCGGGCGGGATTTTCGCTCGGATGCACGTGAAAACTAGCCATTGAAAAGCGGCGTCTTTGAAGGATTTACCTAATCAGATTTGCGCTTGACGTGGACTGTATCTGCACCGCTGGCTTTGTCCATAATAACACATCAATTCCACTAATTTGCTGCTCCTATTAATGGAAAGCCCGCCTCAGTGTTATCCTTGACTGGCAAATGGAAATCTGATCGAATTCCGTGTCCAAATATTTGCCAACATTAAAATAGACGCGTTCACTTCCATTGGAAGAATTCGGATTCTCCAAGACAAACAAGCGTACCCTCCAGCGGGAGCCGGGAGAGCAACGTAATGGATTGGGCTCCATTAGCATTGGCAGATTAAAAAGCTAATTGAGGGCTCTGTTTTTCTCGATTTTTGCTTTTAGGGCAATGCGATTCAATTTACTGCCCCAACTCGGCAAAATAATCGACTCTAATAGCATGACGGTTACTCATTTAGAATATAATCTCATCTAAAGCGAGACCAGTTGAGCTGCTGCGCTTCCATAAATAAACAAACTCTAAACGTCTCCTTGTGCTTGCTGAGTGCGAACATACTCTGTCGTCTACACAATTACGCCAGTCCCTTTATTTAAGCCCCAATAAACATGCTCCTGTCGAATAAATTGCGGGCTCAATACCAAAAGAAAAAATCTTTTTATGTTTCGTAATTAGATTTCGGCGTAACGGGGGCCTCTTTGTGTGAAAGCTTTTTTGTGTAGACGTAGATTCGGCCTTAATAAAATCAAAATGTTATTATGTGAAAGACCGGTTCGACAGCAATGGATTTTCGTTTGGCAATTTATCACTGCTCGATATAACGTCGATATGGATTGTCGCCGATTTAAACCCATGAATTTTTTCCTTTCAGGTAAGCGCTAGAGGCTTTGGATGACGATGTTGCCAACGCGACTTGAAGGTAACCAATAGTTCACCAATTTCAATTACATGTGAAAAAGCCATTTATAAAAAGTGCGCTCAGTCTGCTAAGCAACTTTTTAAACCGTCCACAGTTCAGTGTTACAGTACAAGCACGTTTCCAATTGATATTAAGCCACGCCTCTGGGAGGAGCTAAGCAAGTGGCTACTAAATGTCTTGGCTCCGCCCAGAGGCGTGGCTTAATATCAGTTTGAAACCACTTGCTTTAACACTGAATTATGGACATTAAATTGATTTAAATTCGACTTCGAAGCTGGATTATACTCGATGCAAACTGTACGTTTGTGGTAGCTCCGCCTAGAGGCGTGGCTTGATTTTGCTCATGCAACGATTTGTCCCATCAAAGTGTTTTGGGTCTTTTAGAGAACTTTGGGAACTCAGTTGGAAAATTTCCCATTGCAGCTTTAAAAAAATAGGAAAATTAAAACAAGCTTCCCTTTTATACCCAAGTTTATTTCATTACAATAGAATCCTTATGAATTATCACCGATATTTTTTGCTAAAACTTCGGAAATTTGACTTCGTTCATCAAAAGTTTCAAAAGTAGTTCACTTAGTGCCGCTTTCCGTTCGAAAATCTCGTCGCATCATCATATAGCAAGCCGAGAGTAGCACGAAGAACAGCAACAGCGTATATTCGATGGTCAATGTCCAAAACGCCACCAAATATGCGGTGCGATTGCAGTAGTTGGGATCTACTGCATCGTAACTGGGCTGATACTCTGTGTAGACCACCAGGGTGCCTAAAAGCCAGCTGCGGTAGAGCAAGCAGCTTCGATCTGTGTAGGGCAGACTCACCAACAACATGCCAACCAACATCTGCAGCTACCAGCACCGCAGTGCCCCAATAGCACAATTTATGGTCAAATTTGCTCAGGAATTTTGCAAGTATGCCCAGGAATCCTGCAACAGGTAAAACGTGCAGAAAACTATTGGGAGTCAAAGTTTGGCTGCCTACCGGCAAAAATCAGATAGATCGGGATGAGTCTGTTCAGGGGACACTTGTTCAAATTGATCCATCCGATGGTAAAAACCGAGAAAAACAGTGCGTAAAGAAACACCAAGGACCCATTAATCCCGGCTGAAAAGTCAAAGTGCAGGACAAAAACCGTTTAATTAATATGGCCAGACTTACGGCGGGATTTTTCTTTGATTTTCTCCTCGAAAAAGTGGTTGTTGCTGTCGCACGAGCTGGGGACGCTTTTTGCCTCTCCATTCTCCACTCTGCCAAGATCGGGGGACGCTGCTGGAGGAATCGCGTCCGGTTTTAACGCGGACATCGGGACTTGTTCGCTTCATGAGGACCACTATTTATAAAGCGAATTTCCCTGGAACGGGCCAATATTATTTTTAGCGCGATTGGCAGCGATTGTTTTGGAATGTTTTCGTCTCGGACGCACAATGAAACCTGTCCAGGATTTTTCTCCTTGATCGCTCACACGACTTAATGAAAGAAGACAAATCAGTCAACATGTTCATTGCTTCAATGGGTTTGATTTACGAAAGGTCGTTTTAAGTGAGACGCCCTGTGTGTAGGGCAAGTTGCCAATTTTCGGCTACAGTTGGGCGAAGTTTGAAATTTAATTTCGTTGTTCCAGTCCAAGTAATTTAGACTTTCACCTATGGCTCCTCCCAGGGGCGTGGCCACTAATGAGTTTTGGTCGAAACTAACGAGTTCAAGTAAATGTTGCAACTATTTTCTTATAAAAGTCAACAAATTCATTGTCGCTTGCCAGTTTCACTACAAGCTTCTGCTCTGGCTCCTCCTAGGGGCGGAGCCTAAGGTGGTCTTCATATTGCGCTCAAGAACTGATTAGAGCTTTGCTTGAGTTTGTAAATGTTTTACTTGGGTAGAATCAAAGTTGATCGATGTTGATTGGCAGTTTGCTTGATTTCCAGTGTTATTTGGTTGTTCTCGCAGAAAATACAATACAACATTGAATGTACTTCTAGCTCCTCCTAGAGGCGTGGCTGATAACAGGCTTAATTGTTCGACCATGACGAAAGGACCATGCGAGGCGAAGAAAAAAAGACTGAAGCTTTTTCGAACCAATTTGCTTTCCTAGGGCATACTTTAATACAACAAACCTCAATGGACACGTTCCTGCAAAGGTTCAGTCTTAAAAATCTCCCGCTTAAAAGTAGTTTCACTAAGTTTGCTGATCAGTAGTGGAAGAGGAGCCGTGAAAAGGGGGCGACTCCGGATCGCGATGGTCCCGCTCAGTTTCCTTCACGAAAAAGATGCAGGCCAAGAAGCAGAAGAAGCAGATGACCATTGTGGCGAGAATCGCGTAGAGAACGACCAGGAAACTGAAGGCAAACAAATAGACGGTTTTGTTGCAGTAGCGATCCTGGTCGCTGGGGCTGAAGCTCGGCTTGTACTCTTTGAAGACCCAGAAGGAGCCTGGAAAGCATTTTGTGCTTCAGTTTTCTAGCAGCGACCAACGCCCAGCAATGCTTACCGAAGAAAATGAACACCAACTCGACTGTGTAGAGGGAAGATTCCACATACTGAATGGGAAAGGAGGTGGAGATCGCTTCTCGAATTACGCTCATTATCTTGGAAAATAGGCCAATGCCACCTGGAAACAAGACATTTGAACACGGTTTGATAGGGAACCCTTGGTTGGTACCTGCAACAATTAGGAAGAATGGAATGTTTTCTTCAACTGGACAGCGGTGCACGCCCCATATCCCAATGGCAAACATTGCGATGTAAAAAATCAGAGAAATCAGCAATGTGATTCTCACTCCGGCTGAAAATGCGACATTTGCAACTGTGACCTTCCTCGACTTTGCACCGGCCACATATCTGCACTCTTCTGCAAAGAGTTGCCCGGAAACATGAAATTACTCACGTAGAACTCGTTTTTTCAATTGTTGCGCCCAGCTTTTCTGCTGCTCATGCCCCTCTGGCGAGCCTGCCTCCGATATCAGAGGTGGTGACGAGTTGGCTGGATCTGCCATTCTTTATACGCACGCTAAATTCTCGATAAATCAACTCACATTGGATGTTCTCCGTGAAGCAAAGTGAAGGTGCAGAATTCAACTAAACAGGTATGTATATGCTGCTCGGGCGAAATGCGCTTAGGATTCATCAAGCGGTGCTTCGTTGCCGCTTGTTGCCTCCTCCATGAGGTTGGAGTGACTGCAACACCAAAGACCTCTGATTTTTCGGGGAATTTGGATGAGTTTTAGCAGCGTCGACAACAGCGCTATCAATTGAAATGCTAAAAGTGGTTTGAAGATTTCTATTTATAAATAATCATTATTAGAAATGACTGGGACAGGACCTGACGGCAAACGGCAAACGCAAATCATTAATGAATTTACCCCACTGTTGCACTTAGATTTCTGATGTGGAGTTAATGTATTAGCAAGTGCATGCTGACTTGGAGCGCCCGTAATGGATCGTCCACCCCATGATGAAAACTGTTCCTGCAAGCTGAAATTTAATGGACATCGTAACAAACAATCTATTTATCGTGGCAAAACTATAAAGCTGCTTTTTAAGATGTGTCTAGGCGGAGCTTTAACGGGTTAATGGGTCTCTACAGTGGAGATCTATCGATAACAAACAGGGAAAGTTGCTACTCGTTCTGGAGAAGAGATGGAAGAAATCTATTGATCGGGCACAACTGTGATTTATCCTGCATGGTTCACGATGGAGGTTCGATTCCCCAAGGGCTTCTAGTTGCGATGCAGACCGTCAGCCCATGGGCTTCCAACAAGTTTCTTCTCCAAAGGTTCATGCTAGTAAAATGGAGCAAATGCCAATTGAAATTGAGGTTGTCCCGTGGGGAACTACCGAAGCGTTGCTGGAAATGGTGGATGAAAGGGTCTCAATTTTTACCCGATTTTCCGCGTTTGACTGAGTCTCGGTCAAAAATATTTTAAGTGAGATGCAGCTGAGGATGGAGAGAAGAAAAAATGAGAATATTAGA